GGAACAACAGTGGAAAGGAACAAAATTTTAAGACTTTCGGAAACAAAGAATAAACACAAAGAGCGAAGGATTACTCCAATGGTTTGACCTTTGGTTATCTCACGTAGGATTTACTATTGAAATAAGGGAGGATAAAGGGAAAGACTACTCTTTTCGAGGAGAATAAAAGTTCATCTCAGATGGCTTACTATGAGGTGACAGTAAAACATCCCCAAAAAGATGCCCAGCAAACAGAAGACAATGAAGTACATGAGATTTATGATATGGCAGATTTTCCTTATTCTAGATACGGCAGTTATATGCGTAAAGATTACTTTTTTCATTCTTTCATCCAACAAATATTTATTGCACACCATGTCCTAGGCACTGTTCTAGGCTCTGGGAATAGAACACAAGCAAAACTGACAGAAATCCCTACCCTCATGGAGCTTATATTCTACTAGAGAAAACAGACAAGCCTAGTTGATTCATGAACATGAATTTAGGGCTTTAGGTAAATACTACTTACTAGTACCTATAAACACCCTGTTTGTTTGGGGTTTTTTTACCTTTTTCTTCTTTCAAATTTTATTTTCCAGAATTTTCATTTCACTAGTTATAGGTATTTATGTCCTTGACCAGTAGCCAAACAGGTTTGAGTGAGTTAAGTTTTGTTTTGTTTTTCTTTTTTTTTTAATCCTGGCTTTACTGTTGTAATAAACCTATTTTTCCTTCTTTGTCTCTGTTTCTCAATGGCATTAGGCAGCCCTTCCAAAGAATTTCATGTAGGGTGACTGGACTCAGAAAATGAGAGGCTAAGGGTGCCTGGGAGGCTCGGCCGGTTAAGCAGCTGCCTTTGGCTCAGGTTATGATCCCAGGGTCCTGGGATGGAGCCCTGCAGCCAGCTCCCTACTCAGCAGGAAGCCTGCTTCTCCCTCTCCCACTCCCCCAGTGTGCATTCCCTCTCTCGCTGTCTCTCTGTCGAATAAATAAATAAATCTTTAAGAAAGAAAGAAAGAAAGAAAGAAAGAAAAAATGAGAGGCCAAATGGTACAATGGAAAGCAAGAGAGTGGGAATTAACAAGGCCTGAATTCAAATCCCAGACCAGTTTTTCACAAGTTGTGTGAGCTGGTGCAAGTTACTCAGTATCTCCAAGCTTCAGTTCACCCACCTGTGAAATGGGAATAACTTCACTCTAAGGATTAAAAGGAGTAATTTCTAAAAGGCGCTTGACACAACACCTAGGAGAAAATGGAGAACTGTTGGTGGCAGCTAGTGTTGGGACTATGACTACCATTACTCCATATGCCGGGAACAAAATAGATGCTCAGTAAATGCCTACTTCTTTCCTTATTCTAGAGAAAGTAAGTTCTTAACATCCTGGGTAATTACAAGGCTCCCATTCACTAGGCTATTCTAGTCTATCCTCTCCATACTTCAGGAATGCAGAAGAATTAAATGCATATTAATTTCATAACTGGACTTAATATCTTTATTTCTAATTTGATGGGATGTATTTATCATCTGAAGAAAAATTTCCATGGTGATGTCACAAGTAGAAAAGAATGATCACTGAATTATGAATGGTAACATAAAACTGAATGAAACTGGCTGCTTTAGAAATCGTCTTCCAAAGATTCCACAATTATTTTTACTAAACTGACACCAATAATATTGTCCCATGTGGTAATCATTTCTGGAGTATCTTTCATTTGGAGAAAAAGTTAAGTGATTTTCTACCTGCAACCATATGCTAATATAAATTTCATACAACACCCCCAGAGTCACTCAGAAGATTAAATGGTATGATGTGTATGAAAATGTTTACCAGATCCCCAGCATATGCTATGCATTCGGTGATAACTTGGGGGAGATCTAATCCTCTTATTATCCTACATTCCTTTCAATTACTAGGAAAGACCTTCTAACAACAATTATAACACAGAAGTTATGGAACTAAAAAGATTTAAAAACACACTGCCTTGATGCCATTCCATACCAGAAAGGTATTCATTTGAATGTCTCTTCATTTAATAACAAAGAGGTCTGTGAGTTAAATGAAGATACGTACCATTATAATCAAAACCAACATTTCAGTCTTTCCCTAAAATAGTCCTTCCACTAACAATTTAATGAAAGTTTTTTTAAAAGGCCAGAGACGTTAAGTTCCTCTTACATTCATTTTAAAAAATGCAAATTCCAGAAGCCCACAAAATATACCAGAGTCATCAGGACCAAAGTCATAACTGTTTGCCCAGGAGACAGCACCGCCACCAGCTTGAACCCGCTTAAATGGAGCATCCACGATAACCAGTGGAGCCCCTTCACTCACGCATGACTCCATCTGAGACAACCAGTATCAGGACTGCTTATTCCCCACAAGTGGCTCTTCTCCGATCTTCTGGATGAGAGAGAACTGCTCTTTCTCCCTGGCTGTGTCCCTCTATATCCAGATGACCTCCGACACTTACGCTTGTCCTGCCAAGTGGATACCCTGAGAGCACCTAATCTCCGTGTAGAAAACCTGCTTCTCCTGTGTCCCTGTGTCTGTTAATGGTATTACTATCCCCTCAGCCACCCAAGATAGGATCTAGTTTTCTTTCCCTCACCAATCCTCTCCCTTCCAAGAACAAACCAGTTTCAAAGCAAGACCTGTCTTTTACCTCTGCAATACCAGCGAGGACGAACCCTGCCTCCATCCCCACAGCCTATCCTAGGTTCTCATTACTGCCGTCCGGACCCTGCCCAACACCTCCCACCCAGTTGCCCACCACCTCTCATGCTTACAATGAGTCCACCTACTCTGGATAGTACGGACTGATCTTGCTATGCATGTCCCTCTACACCCTCTGGGCCCCCACTGCCTTCTCAGAACTTAAAGGGTTCTCATCTGACACAACCAACTATTCACTTGCTTCTAGAAGCACCTCAAATTCAAAATGCTCTGGCGGCCTTAACTTCAAGGCCGTTCCTGCTCTGGCTCCCATCTTAAAGCCTGTAATGTCATGAAAATGCAAGTTAACTGTGCCATTCTACTGCTCAAGAGCTAAAGGTCAAAATTCTCAACCCAACCTACAGAGCTTCACATGGCCTGGCCACCCTCCATCTCTCCAGTCTTGCCATGTTCTCGTTTGCTCTCTGCCTCAGCTATCCAGCCTTCTCTTCAGCTTGCCATGATGCCCCTCATCCCCAAGCCTCTGTACATGCTGGCCCCTTAGCACCCCACCCCTCACGTAGGTAGTGCTATCCTACCCCTCAGATCCCAACTCAAAGGTCACTTACTCAGCCACTAGTCTTAACATTCTCATCTAAGTCAAGTCCTCTGTTTGCCCCTGTCCTTTGCCTCCACAGACTCAAGCAAAATACTAATTAATTGATTATTAGATTTCTTACTCCCAAGCTAGAATACAAGCTCCACGAGAGTAGGACTGTGTCGGTCTTCTTTGCCACTGTATCTCACAATTTACTCCAGAGTAGCCCTCGACAAATATATGTAGGCTAATGTAATTCATAAATCACAATACCCTAAGTAAATTACATCCCAAGATGCACTACACACTAGTCTTGAAAGCATCTGGTTTCTCCATAACAATAAAGTGCTCAGCTCCTCAATGTTCTCTGAGTTCTTCCCCTGAAAAACTGACATTATATGCGTCTACAATTCTACCATTCCAAACCTCCACAATTTTGTTTGCAACCTTCCTCCCATCTGGAATTTTTTCCCCAACTACATAGTTCCAAAGCCTACTTGCTTCAAATGCTCAAATCCAATGTCACCTTCTCCTGGAAGTCTTCCTTGCATTCCCACCGCTAGTCACAACCTCCCTCCCTGAATTCCCACAGGTTCTCCATGATCTCATTCAGGTCAGATCAAATGTCACTTCAAATGAGAGGTTTCTCCTAAAACTTTAGAGAAACTCACTAGTTACAATTCTCTATCAGGCTGTCCTGTTTTATTTTCTTGATAGCATTGTTATCTGAAATTATCTTGTTCATTTATTTCTTTATTTATTTGCTTATTTACCAATTAACTGCCTGTGTCCCCCCTGCTAGAATGTAAAATCCCTAAGAGGAGGGACCCTGTCTGTCTGGGTCTCGGTATTTCCCCACTCCTCCACAGCTAACATCAAAAGTCTTTTGTAAAATCTGCCAAAGGCATGAATGACTCTGTAGTCCTTATGACTAGGGTCACTTGTGTACCTATCTTTCTCTTGCTGTATTCCAAACTCCATGTGGACTAGGCAAAAGTCTGGCTAATCTATTTGTTCATGTATCTTACCTGGAAATCCTTCCACAATTAAAGCAAATAACAGATAACTATTAATGAAGGATTTGATGATCTCTCCAGGAGGTACTGTCCCAAACCAGGCCAACTCAGAACTCCATATTCTCCAGAAACCAGGGCAAACAAGAACCTCCTTCCATGTCCTCTCCACCCTGTTCCAATCAGCTGCCTCTAGTGAGCTTCAAAAGGCTAGTTTCCTCACTTTCCTCTATCCAACAACCACTCCTTCTTCTATCTCTGATATCTCACAATCCTAACCTAACCTCTCCCCTCTTATCTTGAGCCAACAAATCACTTCCAGGGCCCTGTTTCTTCTGAGTACCCTAAATCTCCAACGAGTTGGGTAATTCATCAGGCCCTAGGGAACAAGGGGATGTTAAAAGGAAGTGTTTAAGTAAGACTAGCTCTCTCATCTTTCCCTGTATACCTCGTTTATACCAGGGACTGGCTTTGATACTCTTTGGGACCCTGAGCTTTCTTCTCCTGTACCCGCCGCACCCAAACCTCTCTGGGGTGCCTCCACCCTTGCCTCGAATCTGTTCATCTTCCGGTACAAGAGGACCCTTGGCCAGAGACAATGATCTCCTCGGGAGCAAATGGTCCTCAAACACCGTGGGGCGGCCCTACCCTCCCCACTTTCTGTCCGGCATCTGCCTCCGGCCTGGAACCATCTCGCGCGCCCCATAGCCTCAGCCTCCCTCTGGGCCCGACCCTCCAACACCACCCCCCACTCACCTGAAGCGGCCCCCGCAGTGCTGGCATTGCTCGCCCACCCAGCCAGCGGGGCAGACGCACTGACCGGTGCCAGGGTTGCAGCGGCCGCCGTTGACACAGGGTCGGTCACATTCCTTGGCCTCAGCTGCGGCTGAGCCCGACACCGCTGCCGCCGCCGCCGCGGCCTCGGCCGCCCAGGGCAGCAGCAGCAGCGGCGGGAGCAGCAGCAGCAGCAGCAGCAGCCGCCGCGGGAGGCGCAGCCCGGCCCCCAGCCCCGGCCTCCCAGCCCCGGTCGCGTCCCAGTCCCGGCGCTGCCCGCCGTTCCTGCCCGCAGGCGCTGTCGTCGCCGCCGTCCTCCTCCTCAGCCTCGCCTGAGTCGCCGCCGCCACCGCCACCATCTTCCCGGGGCTGAGACGGCGCCCCGCGAACACATACACACACACCGCACGGCCGGCTCCGCTTTGCCTGGCCGTGCGGGGCGGGGCTGTGCGGACGGTGGCTCAGGCGGTCAATCCTGAGGGCGGGGCCAGAACTGCGCGGCAGGCGGGGCGATGCGTGCGTGCGTGGGCGGGGCGCGGCGCGCGGGCCCTCCTCCTGCACCCCGGGCTCTGGAGGCTGGTCTCGGGCCGGGTTTGTGCAGGTTGTTGAGATCCCTCCCGCCTCGGGCTCAGGGCGCATTAGCGCTCCAGTTTTGCCTTTCGCGCGGCCCGGCGGTGACAGGTTAGCATCTCTGAGGCGTCCTCTTCCCGTTGGCTGCCTGGGAGCCATCCGCTCTGCTTGGTGGGCGACCGTGTTGAGCACTGCCCTCCCGGAAACCCCGGCTCTGCCCCGACTCTACCTGCGGGGCAGAAAGGGCCTAGGAGTCTTCGTCGTGGTGTGTACGGTGGTGTGCGGTACTGTTGAAGGAGTGCTGTGTTGCAGCCTTCGCTTTCTCCTCCGTAAAGTAGGGATAACGAAGTAACACATGTGTTAAGAAACCAGTGCATAGGCTATGCGCAATAAATGCCTCTAGACCGAGTGAAGACACTTTCTTCTTTCTTGATTCAGGCTGATCCAGTGGCCGACCAGACCCCCCACCTTTAATAATGTGGAGGAAGTGCGGGGCTACCTTACAACCCCACTCTTTGTTCTCAAACCTCTCTGAAGAGAAGCCAGCATAAAATTAGGAATTGGAGCACCCTCAGCCCACACATGTCTGCTCCTAGAGCCGTTCTTGTCAGGTAGTTTGTTACTTTGGTGGCCCCTCTGAAACTTGCCTCCTCACAGTATAACCTTATGTGGTCGTCGACCCTGGAACCTGGACTGGACCTGTGACTTGATTTAACCAATGGAAGAATGTGCAGAATTGACTGTGCCAATTACAGAGATGAGCTTTGAGAATACCTGGTAACCTTGATTTCAAGTTCATTATAGTTCTGAGCTACTCCCCCTCTTCCACCTTGCTGTAGAAAGATGGCACACAGAGACCACCACATGGAGAGGCAAAAGCCCTGAGACTACATGGAGGAAAAGTAAGGACCAGTTATCACCAAGAACTGAGGTCCCAGACACATGAACCCTGATGAACCCTGATGAGTCCCTGCTGAGGGACCAGTCATTGAGGGGAGAAGCCATCTGAGCTGTTCCTCATTACCTAAAACAGAGGTAAGTCTTTCCTACTGTGCCTTTTCCAAAATCCTAAGAAATGATAACTTGGGTGCTGGTTTAAGCCTATAAGTTTTAGAGCAGTTTGCCACCCAGCAATAGATAACCAGAACATTGTCTGACACAATCCTTGTGTTGTGAGGAATATTCCTGTGGCAGCCACCTCAGAGTTTGAGCACTCTACACTCCCTGGAAAACAAAGAAATCCCCTCATATACCTGTGGAGACTTTCAGCTTTACCATAGAACACAGAATTCTGATTCTAGGATATACCCCCACCCTCATGCCCAGGTCCTGACCTACCTTCCTGGGCAACCATGTCAAGCCTCATGAAGCTTAGCAGCACCCCAGCCTCCAGCCTCACCCCAGCTCTACACCCACACATCCTTCCTATTCCTGTGTGAAATGTATTGTTTGGTCTAGGCCCTACCACTGGCATTCTGGTTTGCAGGTGGTTTTGGCTACAGTATCCTACAAGGACTGTGTAGGTTGAGGTAGGGAAATGAAAGACATGGCCCCACTGTCTGGCAAGGACCCAGTCAGATGGAGGTGGTTCACATGAAACCATGACCTGGCTACAGGAGATACTGCTCACCCTACTCCTCTAGGCCAGAAGTGGAACCAACCTTTTCCTTTATTCCCCACAGCAAAACTGAACCACTACCACCTGGAAATTTTAATGTCTGTAGCAAAGAATTCCTGGAACTGCTCTAACTACATGCCCAAGGAGGTTTGTATCCACTAGGATAGTTTGACGTTACCTCTGCTCTTTTTTTTTTTCCCACTCAAGAAAAGCTTTCTCTCTGTTTGTGTGACCCTTTGCTCTCTCTGATTTCATGTCCTCATTTTCTATCTTTGCTTTGTCTCCAGGTCAGGGACATGGATGGTTCTACAGTGTTTTAGCTTTTACTCATGTGTTGTCTTAGGTCAGTTTCCTGACAAGCAGAGACTGAAGCATAATTTGAGTACATAATTTTTTAGGAGAATGCTTTCTGGAGAAAGGCAATAAAGGAAGCAGAATAGAACAGGGAAGGGAGCTAAGCCAGGATGTGGTCTTATCTGGAGTCAAGCTTCAGCCTGATCCTATGGAGAGCCTTGGGACATGGATTATATCATAGAGCTGATTCCACCTTGAAGCCAGAGAGCCATGTTTTGTATATATATCTCATTTAGCAGCTAGCCAGCATGCACTGCTGTAAAAAGGATCCAATAAAGGAAGCTTAGGGGAGGCATCAGTCTACCGTATACAACGGATATCTATGAGCACTCAATTGCAAGGATGAATGCTGCCCCAGTAAGATCTATCTTACCAGCTGTCTGACCTTCCCTGAGTATCACGGGACCTTGTCTACGCTATTTGACACATCAACATTTTTTCGTATGTCAGAGATCTTCTTACACTTTCAGTCTGCATGGAACAAAACAATTCCCTGATTATAGATATCAGGATCTTACCTAATATATAAGGTACTATATGGCCTGTGAAGAAGGTTGATCTTGAGGGTTTGGAATAAACACAACCGGGAGGGTTTTAGGTAAGAAGGAAGCTCCACAGGGTAGCAACTTCCTTGTGAGGGATAGGTCAACTTACAAATGTAAAAATCCCAACACTCCTCAGCAGGCTCTACAGGAAAATGTTTAGGGATCCTTGATCTAGGAGCACAGGGTTAGCCACCTTAGCTGTTGGCTGAGTTCCTGGTGGCCTCCATAGGGAAGCCACACGAATATAGGAAATGGCCTTGATAGCAACATGAAGGACAAGACCCAATCTTGAAAGGAGATCACCAATTTAAAGGCAGAGAACTTGAACTTTCTGTTAGATGGACGCATGCCCTAGCTCTCAGATTTCTACAGTAGAGAAACAAAAGTTTTCTCCTGTGCATAGATAAGATATTATGAAAACAGTAATAGAGGGGTGCCTGGGTGGCTCAGTGGGTTAAAGCCTCTGCCTTTGGCTCAGGTCATGATCGGGGCGCTCTGCTCAGCAGGGAGCCTGCTTCCCCCTCTCTCTCTGCCTGCCTCTCTGCCTACTTGTGAGCTCTGTCTGTCAAATAAATAAATAAAATCTTAAAAAAATAAAAACAAATAAATAAAATCTTGTGATCTCTGTCAAATAAATAAGTAAAATCTTAAAAAAAACAGAAAACAAATAAATAAATAAAATCTTTTTTAAAAAGAGAAAAAAAAACAGTAATAGAGTTAAAAGACAACTGGCCTTCCTAAGTTTCCTGTAACTGCTGTAACAAATTAACATAAACTCAGTGGCAAAAACAAAAACCAATGGAAATTTATTGTCACGCTTCTGGAGACAAGAGGTCTAAAATCAGAGTGTCAGCAGGGCTCATTCCCTCTGGAAACTCTAGGGGAGAATCCCTCCTGTTCCAGCTTCTGATGGAAGTTGGCATTCTTTGGCCTTCTTAGCTTGTGGCCACATAACTCCAGTGTCTGCCTTTGTCATCACATTGCCCTCTCCTCTATATTGTCTTCTCCTGTGTGTGTCTCTTATAAGGACACTTGTCATTGGATTTAGGGCCCATCTCGATAATTTAGGATGATCTTCTCATCTCAAGATCCTTAATTAATTACATCTACAAAGACCCTTTTCCCAAATATGGTAATATTCATAGGTTCTGGGGATTAGGATATGGACACATCTTTAGGAGAGCCACTGTTCAGCCCACTACACAACCCTATACAGGATCTCAACTCATTCAGTTCATTCACTTCTACAACTAATATTTAATGAGTGGCTACTATATACCAGAGACTGATCTAGGCTCTGTGGAGGCAACAGTAAAAAAGCATATAAAAATCTCTTCCTTTCTTCACATTCATTAGGATGACTACTATCAAAACAAAATAGAAAATAACAAATGGCAAGAATATGGAGAAATTGGAACTGTTGTGTATTAGTGGGAATGGTAGCGCACTGTGGAAAACAGTTTGACAGTTCCAAATATAAAAAAAAAGAATTATCATGGGGCGCTGACTCAGTTGGTAGAGCATGCAACTATTGATCTCAGGGTTGTGAGTTCAAGCTCCACACTGGGTGTGGAGCCCACTGTAAAAAAAAAAAAAAAAAAATTATCATATAATCCAGCAATGCCACTTGTGGATATACATCCAAAATAATTGAAAGCAGGATCTTGAAGAGATATTGGTACACTCATATTCACTATAGCATTGTTCACAATAGCCAAGAGGTGGAAGCAACCTAAATGTCCATCAACAGATGAACAGATAGACAAAACATGATATATATGTATATATGTATATATTTATTATGTATATGTATATTAGATACACATATATATCTAATATATACATATAATATTACTCAGGGGCACCTGGCCAGCTCAGTCAGTGGAGCATGCAACTCTTGATCTTGGGGTTGTAAGTTCAAACCCCACATTGAATGTAGGAGGGGCAGATGGAGAGGGAGAGAGAGAATCTTAAGCAGGCTCCACACCCAGCACAGAGCCTGATGCAGGGTTCCATCCAAAGATGGTTGAGATCATGACCTGAGCTGAAATCAGGAATCAGACACTTAACAACTGAGCCACCCAAGTGCCCTTAAAATTTTTTATTTTTTTAAATCACTGCCTTTATGGAATATCTAATTATATATAATTTTTTTATAAACTCTCTGTTGAAGTATAACATGTATACAGAAAAGTGAAGAGATCATCCATATATAGCTCAATGAATTTTTTTAAGTAAACATATGACTAGGGCCTTGGTCAAAAATTAATTCATAGGGCCTGCAGCACAACCTGTCATGGCGGCCGGGCTGTTGGATTGGAGCGCTCGCCGCCTTTTGGCAGTAGCCGCGACGCGAGGGCTCCCAGCCGCCCGCGTTCGCTGGGAATCCAGCTCGGCCAGGGCCGTGATCGCCCCGTCGGCTGTGGCTGGAAAGCGGACGCCGGAACCGACCGTACGCTGGCAGGAGGACCCAGATCCGGAGGACGAAAACCTCTCCGAGAAGAACCCAGACTCCCACGGTATGACAAGGACCCTGTTGTGGACCTCTGGAACATGCGGATCGTCTTTTTCTTTGGCTTCTCCATCGTCTTGGTCCTTGGCAGCACCTTTATAGCTTATCTGCCTGATTACAGAATGCAGGAGTGGGCCCGCCGAGAAACTGAGAGGCTTGTTAAATACCGAGAGGCCAATGGCCTCCCCATCATGGAATCCAACTGCTTTGACCCCAGCAAGATCCAGCTACCAGAGGATGAGGACTGACCCGTTGCCAAGTGGGGCTCAAGAACCATCACCTTCTCCACCGCCTGCCTGTCATTCTGCCCTTTCTTCAGAGCACCTAATTAAAGGGACTAAAAGTCTGAAAAAAAAAAAAAATTAATTCATAGGATCCCTCTTGGACCCTCCTAGTCACTATGTCCATGCAGGAGCCACTCTGCTAACCTCTTACGTTATGGACTCTTTTTGCCAGTTTTTCACTTTATATAAATGCAATACTATAGTATGGAGTCTCTTGTGTCTAGATTCTTTCATTCAGCATTATGTTTGTGAAATTCATCCATATTGTTGTATAAATAATTTGGATCTTTTTTAATTTTACTTTTTTCAAAGATTTTATTTATTTATTTGAGATAGAGAGAGAGCACAAGCCAGGGGGCAGAGGGAGTAGGAGAAGCAGACTTCCCACTGAGCAGGGAGCCTGACATGGGGCTCAATCCCAGGACCCTGAGATCATGACCTGAGCTGAAAGCAGACGCTTAACTGCCTGAGCCACCCAGGTGCCCCTTGTTTTTATTTTTATACTCTACTAGTTAAACGTATATATGCCATAATATGACAGTTTATTTATCTGTCCTACTGCTGATGGACATTTGGGCAGTTTCCAGTTTGAGACAACTATGATTAATGATGCTATGAACAGCCTAAGAATCCAGTACAAGTCTCTAGGTGAGAATACATACACATTTCTGTTGGGTATACACCAGAGGTATACTGATAAATGTTTATCAACCAGATCCCTTGGAGGAAAACACCCTCATAGGTAGCATTTGTTGATTTCTGTGTGTAAGTACTCCCACCATGGCCTATTTCAAGCTACCAACATGATGTCAGTGAATGTAGAATCAGGAAGATATACAGACCTGCTCTCCAAGCCAGTGGGAACCAACTCCAGCACTGTGTATGCCTGGGAGATCAATAAATGTCCAAACAGACCTGCAAGAGACTTACTAGGAGAAATATCTGAGAGGGATAAAAAGGAAGGAAAGAGGAAAAAGCAAGGAGAAGATTCAGACTTAAAGAAAAATCCAACAGCTGTGAGGGGAAGTAGGGAGGACAGACTGGTTACGAAGAGTCTAAGACTGTGGTGCAGTTCTGAAAAAGGCTTGTCCAGGCCAAAGGGGATTACTGGGGCCAGAGTTGCTAGCTGGAGTAGCCGTGCATGTCTCAGGAATGGGCCTGCACCAGCCAGCACAGAAGCAGTGGCAGGACCAGAGGGGCAGCGGCTGGGTTTCTAGTCAATGACAGTCCCCCCAACAGGAGAGCTGAGCCATGCATTTTCATGACCACCATACCTGGCAGTATTTCTTCTCACCACAACCCTGGAGATGAGCAGGACAGTCTGTCAATCAGGGTCGTCTCTAAATGTCTTCCTTTTCACAGGTTAACTGTGACTTGGAAATTGGAATGGCCACTTTAGATTGAACAAGCCCCAGGTTTCCTAGGTAATTCACTAGAAAGGAGAGAGGGATTGAAGAACAGACAAGCATTCTAGTTATTAATTAAAGAAATAGAAGTTGACCATACTATATCCCCAACTGATGATTTAAATCTTACTGCTTACATAAGGAAAGAATAGAAAAATGAAGTTAGTCAGAAATAGAAGCTGGAAAAGACCTTATAATCCAAGTTATAGTTAGCTTTAAAGTAGAAGCAATATGGTGCTTAAAAAAAAAGGCTACAAATTCTTTAATATTCTCATTAAAATTTAGAATTTAATTCCTCTCCGTAAAATAGAGGTCAGACTTCGTGACTCTCTTCTAACAAATAAAGATGTGGTAGAATTATGCTACGTGACTTCTAAGGCTAGGTCATACACAGGATAGCTCCTCCTTCTTCTTCCTCTCCCTCCCCCTCTCCCTCTCCCTCTCCTCAATGTCCCTCTCCTCCCTGTCCCTCTCCACTTGCTTTGGAGGAAACCAGCCATCACGTCAGGAGGACACTTGAACAGCCCATGGAGAGGCACAGGTGGAGAGGAACTAGGGCCTGCCACCAAGAACTAGCACATACTTACCAAACATGTGAAAGCCAACCTGAAAATGGATCCTTTCACCCATCGAGGCTTCAGGTGACGGCAGTCCTGGCCAACATTTTAACTGAGACCTCACAAAAGACCCTGAGTCGGAATTGCCTAGTCAAGCTGTTCTTGAATTTCTGACCCATAAAAACTGTGAGGATAATAAATTGTTGTAGGCCACTAAATTTGGGGGCAATTTGTCTCACAGCAATAGGTAATTAATATAGGCCACAAGAATTTGGAAGTCTCCATACACATACCCAACACCATAACAGAAGATATTACAACCGAGACAATATGGCAAACCCATGGAGGGTATCCATTGCCTTGTTTCCTGCCTTGGCTCATAGTGAAGTCAACTCCTCTCTAAGCTGATTCCCATCAAAGCTCACTGTTCTGGTGCAGCCAGAAGCACCATCTCTATTCCTAGTGCTCGCCCAAGGCACTGATACAGACTGTTGTGATCAAGATTTCTAGCGCCCACACAGAGGTCCCCATCTCATGTTGCTGCCAAGCCATTGGCACCAACCCCCATCATCTGAGAAGCCACTGGCAGCAAAGCAGGCTTCATTACAGGGAAATGGTTCTTGTGTTCACTTGTACTATGACCATGGCCAGAACCCCAGTGTGGGGGAGGGGTGGCACATAACCATGTGTACAGAACCAGCTCACCAAAAAAACATGGCCTGTGACTCAGACTGCAGTGTTTACCAAGTTAAACAGTCTAAAACCAGATCAGCATATCAAAAATGACTCAAGCAACAGAAAGAGTTTAGCTATGAACCTCAGCAAGTCAGGGCCAAGGACACTGATTATGGACAAGGTTCAAAGAGGGCAGAAAGAAAGCAGACCTGCAGAGTTCTGGGCTTGGGGCAGCTTTGAAGAGTATACCTATGGCCAAGGTGTGAACGCCCCACCCTTAGGGCTGGCTTAAAGTCATCAGGCCCCTTTCTCCTCTATGCATTTCAAGGCTATAGCTTTTTTTCATGTGTAAAGTTCCCACAGAATTGCCAGGGCTCAGACTCAGTGTGATACTGGCAAGGAAGCTTGAACACTCTTATATTAGTTTAGGTTCCCCCAGAAGAAAGCCCCGAGGCAAGAATTCAAGATTAATGTGGGATGTAATCTCAGGGAACAGGGAGCAGAGTACAGAAGTGAGACAGGGAGGGGAAGGCAGTCAATAATACAGAGTTGTGTTATCAAGCCAGTGACTAGTGTGCACAATTCCAGGGGGAATTCCACAGGGGAAACTGGGAAGTGGAATAGGACACATGCCTCAGAGAGGTAAGAAGGCTAGAGTATTTGAGGGTATTTATATAGCAACTCCAGTCAGCCATTTTTGAGGGTTGCTAGGAGAGGGAGTGTTAATTAGTGTGAGGACCAACACAGAGAAGCAGATACTACTGATCCGTGGATCCATTTTTTATTTGTTCATTGGCCATTAGGTCTCCCCTTCTGTGAACTGAGCATTCATATCCTTTGCCCATTTTTCTATTGGATTGCCTATCTTTTTTTTTTTTAACTATTTCTTTATTTTTTTTTTAAGATTTTATTTATTTATTTGACACAGAGAGAGATCACAAGTAGGCAGAGAGGCCACAAGTAGGCAGAGAGGCAGGCAGAGAGAGAGGGGGAAGCAGGCTCCCTGCTGAGCAGAGGCGAGGCTCCATCCCAGGACCCTGAGATCATGACCTGAGCTGAAGGCCGAGGCTTTAACCCACTGAGCCACCCAGGCGCCCCTGCCTATCTTTTTCTTACGGATTTGTAGGAGTCACATATATAACCAGATCTTTTCCATTGTATATGTAACAAATATCACTTTCCAGATTGTGGCTTATCTTTTCACTTTCTTTATAGTATCATCCAATAAGTAGTTCTTATCTTCAATGTATGAACTTATCAGTGTTTTCTTGATAGTCTATGCTTTTCATGCCTGGCCTAAGAAATCCTTCCCTACCTTGAGGTAACGAAGATGATAATTTACTAAGAATTTTTGCTTTCTTACAGATAGTCTTTGATCCACTTGGAAAGGATTTATATGAAAATATAATACAGGAATTCAATATTTAATTTTTATCATGGAAAATCTCAAACATACACCAAAATAAGAAGAGTACGATGAGCTCAACACCCAGCTTCAACAATTATTAACTTATTTCATTTGACCACTGCTGTATAACAAATTACCCCCAAACTTAGCAAATTGAAACAGTAATAAACATTGATGATGTTGCACAGTTTTTGAGAGTCAGGATTTTAGGACTTTAGAGTTGTTCTGGCTAAGGATCTGTTATGAGGTTGCAGTCATGTTGTTGGCCTGGCCTGCAGACATCTTCAGCCTTAGCTGCGGCTAAAGGATCTGTTCCAAGGTGACCCTCACCTCTGGCTGGGAAGGTGTTGCCAGGAAGCATCTGTTTCTTGCCACTTGGCCCTTTTTGCAGAGCAGCTGATGCATCCTCACAGCATGGTAGCTGGCTTCCCCCAGAGCAAGTGAGCCAAAAGAGAGGAAGGCGGAAGTTGCAGTGACTTTTATAACAGTCTTGGAAGACGTACAAGATCACCTCCACCACATTGTATTCATTAAGTCACTAAGTCCCATCCACATTCAAGTTGAGAGAAATTAGATTCTGCTTTTGGAAGGGAGGAATATTAGCGTTAGCGGATGTTTTTAAAACCAGCACGCAAATCACAGCCGGTCTTTTTCAGCTGTGCCTCCATCCACTCTCCCTTACAAACTGCATTATTTTGAAGAAAATTCCAGACATCGTATTGTTTCATGTGTAAATACTCTAGTATTGATTTCTAAAAGATAAGCCTTGAAGAAATGTCATAAGCACTGTACCATAGGCATACAAAAAGTTAACAACGTAACAATAATTCCTTAATGTCACCAGATATATCCAGTCAAAATTCAATAGCATTCAAGTTCCCCCAATTCATTCCCTCTCCTGCTTGCCCTCTCTCTCTTTTTTAAATAGTTTATATCAAACATCTCTGTGCATAACTCCAGATCCTCTTGGGCTCACGTCACTTAATCCAGCCATTGCTGCCCAGATCAGTCCTGCACAGGCTC